AGATTACACAAATTCTCCTGATTAAAGGTTGACAGCTCTAGCAATAATACAAAATGTAAGACACTTTATAGACCAGCCATTCTGGCCATTGCTGGTTGCAACCTTTAACTGAGCTAGCAAATGACTCTGATCTTTCAGAGAAATGAGCCACAGCCACAGATCAGAGACGGTGGGCTGACTCCACAGGCCCCTGGAGAAGAAACAACAGGCTTAGAGCAAATAGAAGAGGGAAAGAAACACCCTGAAAAGTGCAGCTGAGACATCATGGGGAAGCAGATGCTGTTGACAGTAAGGCGACAGAAAGAAGATAGGAGAATGGAGTGTCCAAAACAAAGTCATCAAAATAAATTAAATTAAATTAAATTAAACAAAGTCATCAATTTTTCCCCCTGAAGTCAGGTCTCACTTGGGACATTTTGTTTCTAGACATCTCAAACTCCCAAAAAGAAGGATAAGGGACATGGGGACATAGGAGAGGGGGATGTGGGGACAAGGATATCCTAACACTTATGACTGCCATATAGCATGACCCAGTTCCTGATACACAGTTGCTGACTTTTATTGGAACTGTGGACAAACTGTTGGTCAATTATTTCACAATTTTATCTTTTTATTGTTTCATAAACATACCCACCAGTTGGTTGCACAATCCAGCCCCAGGATACAAGTCTCAGGACTTTCTATGTCAGAAAATTTAAAGACATGGGAAAGATAAGGATTTGCTGTAAATTAGAACTATCTACATCTGTAGGCTGGAGACTTTATTTTTCTATTTTTTAAATAACTTTGTATTTTGACATAGAATTCTTGGATGCCCTATACCTAATTCATCAATAGTTAACATTTTGCCTTATTTATTCCATAATTTGCTATTTGCTCTCCCATCATGGACATGTAAATGTACACATTATGTATAACATATAATTATATATATAAATAGATACACATTATTATTACCGTTTGAGAGTAAGTTATGTATCTTTACCCCTAAATGTTTCAGTGTATTTCCTAAGAACATAGCCATTATCAAAATTAGGAATTTTAATATTGACAGTACCATTATCAAAATTAGGAATTTTATTTTATTTTATTTTATTTTTTTAAGATTTTATTTATTCATTTGACAGACAGAGATCACAAGTAGGCAGAGAGAGGCAGGCAGAGAGAGAGAGGAGGAAGCAAAGCAGGCTCCCCACGGAGCAGAGAGCCCGATGTGGGGCTCGATCCCAGGACACTGGGATCATGACCTGAGCCTAAGGCAGAGGCTTTAACCCACTGAGCCACCCAGGCGCCCCAAAATTAGGAATTTTAAATATTGATATAATATTATTATTTTAATCCATAGTCTATATTCAACTTTGGTTAATTGTCCCAATAATGTCTTGTTTAGTGCTCCCACCATCCCCGCCTCAGTCCAAGACCATGCATTGTACTTAGGTGTCATGTCTTTTCAGTGGAGGCTTTGTTTTTTCCTTGCCTTTAGCACATATCATTTAATACTCCTAAAAGCTACTCCAAATTACAAGTACTATATTTTTTATTTTTATTTTTTAAAAGATTTTATTTATTTATTTGACAAAGACAGAAAGAGCAGAAGCAGGGGGAGCTGCAGACAGAGGGAGAAGCAGGCTCCCTGCTAAGCAGGGGGCCAGATGCAGGGCTGGATCCCAGGATCCTGAGATCATGACCTGAGCCAAAGGCAGACACTTAATTGACTGAGCTACACAGGTGCCCCCCAAATTACAAGAATTTTAATAGAATTTTCTAAATACTAGAAAAGTAGGGGCATCTTGGTGGCTCAGTGGGTTAAAGCCTCTGCCTTCGGCTCAGGTCATGATCCCCAGGTCCTGATATCGATACCCCAGCAAACTCTATGTGCACACTTGGACAGGAACTGAAAAATAAAGTATAGGCAGAAGCCTGTCTTAGTAAAATAACTCATGCTCTAACGCCAGCCAGTATGACTTTTTAGAGCCTCCATTTCCTTCTAGCTCTGTGGTGAGTCATTTAACTCGTCTGTGCCTCAGTTTTCTCTTCCGTGAAATGTGGATAATAGTATGCAACTTGGATTATGAGGCAGAAGTGAAACGCTGATGACAAAGCATTCAGCTCGACTACAACACAAAGGCAAGTTCTCAAATCTCAGAGACAAAGTACAATCCATACTCTTTGGGCAAGTTTTTATTGTAAAGTGCCAGATAAAAAATATTTTAGGTTTTGTGGGCCTTGAGGTCTGTGTTTCAATGACTCCTCTCTGTCAGTATGCAAAAGCAGTTACACACAAAGCGTGGAGGATAGGAAGTGACTGTGTTCGAATACAATTTTATTTGTGGACACTGACATTAGAATCTCATGTTGTTTTCAATGTCACAAAATACCATTCTTCTTTTGATTTTTTTCCTCCAACCATTTAAAAATATAAACTTAATTCTGAACAAACAGGCCATACAAAAATAGGCAGCAGGCCAGATCTGGGTGGCTGGTCTTTGTCAACCCCTGTGCCTCAATTCAGTTAAGAATGCCTGCTGTACATTCTCACTTCGGATCTATGAGCTGGGAAAGTGGGAAAAACTGTATCTGCCATGTGCTAAGGATTTAAAAAAATTTTAAACTTCATTTTGCAATAACTCAGAAAAAAGTTGAAAAAAAAAACAGTACAAAGAATTCCTTGTTGAGTCCCCAAATGTCAACATTTTACTGTATTTGTTTTATTGTTTTGCATGTACCTAAATACTCATTTTTTTCCTGAACTGTTTGAGAGTTGTAAAGGGGATGCCCTTTTGTTTCCTAAAAACAAAGACACCCTCTTATGTAACCATAGGGCGAGTATCCAAATCAGTAAATTAATACGAAAGTATTATTTAATCTTCAGACTTTGTACCCTTATCAAACTCAAGAAATTAACTTACAGGCCTAATTCTGACTCCATCAACTGTCCTACTAACATTCTGTATGTGCCAAATGTCTTCCAGTCATCACCTCTGCTAACTTCCCCAACTACCCAGTGAGTTTGATATTATTTTACAAATGAAGTAAAATGATTTATCAATTTACCAATGAAGGAACTAAAGGCTTGGAGAAGTTAACTAAGGTACTCACAGTCACACAGATATTAAGTGGCATAGCTGGAATTTTAATTCAGGTGTGTCAGCTTCCAAAGCCCTTGCTTTTCCGTACCAGATGAGGGTTGTAAGTTTGAAAAGGACTTCACCATAGAAGGGGAAGCAGTTGGTGTTTCAGGCATGAGAAGAACCTGAGAAGGGAGGGCCAGCGACTATTTCTCAGTTTCTCAAGGAAATGCCCAGTGGGAAAAGAGAAAGGTATGAACAAATGGAACTTCAGCTATTTTGTTACATAATAGAAAAGGTTTTTTGACATTTTTAAAAGTAAAATATAACTTTTTAGCTTATTTTAAAAATACAGAAAGTGACACAAAATACATGACTTAATGAGTTATATTATGGAGAAAACCCTTGTAACCACCAGTTCAAGAAACAAAACTCTCTTGCCTCCCAACTCCCCAAAGCTGCCCTGCATGGGCTGAATCCCAATCTCAGCTCCCCACCCATAAGTAACCACTATTTTTGACTTTTATAGTTATTTCTCCCAGCATTTAAAGACCAAATTGAGTTTTTTAAAAAGGATCCACACGTTGTAAAAAATAGTGTTAAAGGAAAAACTATTCTGACACTTGTTAAAATGTAAGGAAGACTTCCTTCAGGATGTTGAAATGGAGGGGGCAGCTGGGTGGTTCAGTGTGAAGCCTCTGGGTTTGGCTCAGGTCATGATCTCAGGGTCCTGGGATCTGGGATGGAGGCATGAGTCAGGCTCCCTGCTCAGCGGGGAATCCGCTTCTCCCTCTGCCCCTCGAACGCGCGTGCTTTCTCTCTCATAAATAACACCTTTTAAAAAAAAAAGTGCTAAATCACTATACTACACACCCAAACTAATATAACACTATGTTAACTAACTGGAATTTAAGTAAAAACTTTAAATAAGTAAATAAACTGGAAAAAAAAAAAAAAAAAACAACCAGAAGTGATTTCCCTCTGAAACTCAGTTTCCATCAGACCTGAGGCCCTTACAAGTGTCAGTGAAGGGAACTGGGATTTTCAGAGCTCCTGGGGAACCAGCCAGGAAAGGATTCTCTTAACTGCGGCTGCAGAGACTTTTTCTTTCCAAGTGTAAAAAGATAGAATACTATTTCATACCCATTTGACAGATTCCCTGCATTTCAAGGATGCTGGAGGTGTTGCTTCTCTTACCTCTCAAACCCCAACCACGAAGCAGAAATTCTGCAAACTTGGGTGCTTTGCGGGTTGGTATTCAAAATTGATTTTGTCACAGCTGAACCATACCTCTAAAACTATCAGTAACCTAGCACAATGGTTCTCACATTTTAGCACGCACTGGAATAACCCGGAACATTTATAAAAATGCAGATTTCTGGATCCCATTCCGAGAGTTTCTGATTGAGACTCTCTGGGTGATGCCCTAGAACTTTCATTTCTGACAAGTACCGGGTATACAGTTGGTTCCAGGGGCCACACTGCGGAGCCCTGGATTAGTTTTGCGGACAGCGGGGAACGCAGGGCTAGCATTCTATCTCCTCCACTTAGATGTACCTGGTCTTAACTTCCTCTTCTGTGCCCTCAAGGAAGCAGGGAAGCCAAGACGACCCTTGTTAAAGTCCAGCCCCGGGGCGCGTTATCAAGCTGCTGACAGTCAGGCCTTCTGACTGCCTGTCCAAAGGGTCGCGCCGCGAGGCAGCTGCAAGCAAATTCCAGATAATGCTATCCGGGAGTCACGCGACCGCCCGCGGCCCCTAGGCTCACCCAGGCCCCTCCCCGCCCCCGCCCGCGGCCCCGCAGTCGCGGGGCGGAGCGAGGGGCGGAACTGCCATGCGGCTGGCCGCAGGGCCGGTAAGGGGCGGCGCTAGGCCACGGGTCCTCAGTCAAGTGACGCGGGGCAACTGGCCCGCGCGCCGACTGCGCAGCGGAGAGGCCAGAGGATGGGCTTGTGGGGGATGTTTCGCATTCTCTCTCTACTGCTGGTGCCGCTGCTGTCGGGTACCGCGTGCGGCCTGCGCGTAAGTCCACGGGACCCCGCGCGGGGGTGCACTGAGAGGGGGCAGGCTGGCGAGGGACCGGGCTGGGGCTGCAGCCGCCCTCCGGGGTCCTGCAGGGCGTGGGCTTGGGACCCCGGACTGTGCCGGGGCAGGCGGGCAGCTGGAGGAGCGCAGGCAGTGGACCGGCCCTCCCGTCGGGGGCGGGCAGGGCGGGGCTCGCGTCCTTCCCGGTAAGCTCTGTCGCTCGCGTGCTCAGCCCCGGTCGCCCCTTCCGCTTGGACCCACTTCCCGGTTGGTGCAAGACGGGGTGAGAGAAGGTTCGCCCAAACCTCTCCAGCTTTGCAGTTTTCCGGGAGGGACATTCCAAGCAGCGCGCGGCATTGGAGGGCGCCGTGGGCTGTGGCTTGAGGCGCCCTCCCTTGCCCAGTTCGGGTGCTGCGGAGCGCTCCGGAAGGAGAAAAATGGGGTCAGGAGACGCCCCGGCGATGGGAATGTTGGATTGATTTCCTTCTAGGGGTTCTCTTTTCAAACATCTCGTCCCTTTCCCGCCACTCCCTGCTGCTGCCTACTTTTTTTGGCTTGAATTTTCCCGATCTTCAGTGTTTGGCGGTGCAGGCCAGGGGTGGGCAAGAGATAGGTGGCAGCCAGCGTTGCTGGAGGTCCGGCCGAACAAGTAGGTGAGGTGGGGGCCGGGGGAGGGGGCAGTGCAGGATTGGCGGGAGGATAGCCTCAAATAGAGCTAAAGCATGGGCCGGAGGGGCCTCCATACCGCTGCCTAGGGAGGTCGGCATCACAGCCGCGGAAAGATTGAGGCGCGGGGGGGGGCGCGGACGGGTAATTGAAATGGGCACCTGGCCCTCCGCACGTTTAGCGAACCAACTGTGGCTCCCCCCAAAGTTTAGGTGGGCTGCTTGATGCTAGGGCGTGTTTTCAATAGAAGGAGAGGAAATTTGGGCCCATTTACTTGTAAATTGCATCTTTTTGGTTTTTTTTGTAAATTGCATCTCTTGATGAAAAGCTTTCGGTAAGTGCTTAGGCAGAGAAGTCATATTAATTTAAAATCAAGGTTGGAAATCTTAAGTCGTTGAAAAACAGTTGCTGAACATAGTTTAATTTGGGGTTCTAGAGAAAGGTCACCTTAAATCGAGTGCTAACTTCTGTCTGCCTACGTTTCTGGTTTCCCTGTCCTCGTGTGTGTGTGTGTGTGTGTGTGTGTGTGTCGGAGCCCTGGGTGAGAGCTACCCAGCTCTGAGAACCACTGGCCAGGGTGGAGCCAGGGTGGAGTTGGGGAACCATGGCAGTGAACAGTGGCAGAGAAAATGAGGGGGGGTGGCAGTGTGAGAGGAGAGAGATCAGGGTTTAGGGTTGAGGAGCTGGTGGAAAAGGCAGGCCCCTGGGGAACGTTGTGCCCCATCGTCCTGCAGGGGGGTGCCCAGAGCCTACACAGGGAGCCGGGCTTCACCCCAGGAATTCTTATGTAAGGTGTCTAGGTGTCCTTCCTGGCCTGGAGTTTCAGAAAGATACCAGCAAACTAGCTTTCCATGATTTCCTTGTTCACTTGTATGTAGAACTGCGGTTCTCAGACTTTAACTGTCCTAGAAATTAAAATAGAAACTTTAAAAATATTTATTAACTTATTTAAAAAATAATAAATCATTACATGTTAACAAACTATATCTTTTGAAAAATAACAGTATTTCTCCCCAAACTTGAGCTGGAAGACTGGCACAGTTTTACGTTTTTGCAAACATCTTTCGCACCTGTCATAATAGATGATAGCTGGGTACATTCAGTTTTGCCATATCACATGTCACGGAGCCCCTGGAAAACTCCACTGTACACTCATGAGAGAATGAGAATGCAAAAGGCAGTTATAGCTTAGTAGTATTAGGAATATAATTCTGAGTAAATGTACCTCCTGAAAGGGTCTCCCTTGACCACACTTTGAGAACTGCTAATTTAAAATAACTTTTTTTTAATCATTAAAAAAAAAAAGTTGAATGCTTTGTGGAAAAACTTTTAAATATTCAGAAAACTGTAAGTAAGAACATGAGAACTGCCCACCACATTACAATCCACTATGTTTGTATTTTAATAATAAAGTGTAGCAACCAACTGGTATTTGAGTGGCTTGGATTCGAGGCAGGCTGGGTAGATGTGAGTGGCCTTCAGGTTTTGAATGGGGACAAGGAAGCTCTAATATCCCACAAAGCTGACGCCGGTTCCTGGTTGCAGGCGGAGCTGACCCGGAAACTTCTGCTTGGCCACTGTCCTTTCTAAGGAACTCACCTTCCAGAGCCCGCCCACACAGAACTGGCAGGGGACCCTCTTAGGAGCAGAGACAATGGCGATCTTCAGGCAGCTGTCCCTGGGTGCAAAGGCTGCCCTGGCTGCAGGCACTGTCTTCGTGTCCATGATTGTGTCCCGCTCCTATCTGGCGGGGAGCCTTGAGCTCAGGGCCTGGCGTTGGCTGTTCCGCCTGCAGCTGGCCCTGTTTGCCAACTCGCTCATGCTCATTGGTTCCCTCTACATCTGGCGTAGCGCAGTCAGCAACCTCAGCCACTCCCCAGCCGCAGAGTCCACCTGTTTTCAGCTTTGGAAGATGGCTGTTGTGGCATTTCTCGCCCTGGCCCATTCTAGTTTCTTCACCATGCTCTTTTTAGTGGCGGAGGAGCCCTATCTCTTTTCCTTGGCAGCCTACTCCTGCCTCGGGGCCTACATCATCATGGTCTTCTTCCTCTGTACCCTCAGTGGCATGGAGCAGGCCTACCAGCTCTTGGCCTGGCGCAGTGGTAGGGTTGTGGGCAGCCTTGACAAGACAAGGAAGCTGGCGGTCAGGCCGGCCCTGGCCGTGGCAGTGACTGCTGTGCTCAGCGTGGCTGGGCTCCTGAATGCCGCTCAGCCTCCAGCTGTGAGGACCGTGGAGGTGCCCATCCATCAGCTGCCTCCCTCGATGGACAGCCTCAAGATCGTGCTCCTCTCAGACATTCACTTGGGCCCCACAGTGGGCAGGACCAAGATGGAGATGTTCGTGAACATGGTGAACATGCTGGAGCCAGACGTCACAGTGATTGTGGGTGATCTCTGTGATTCGGAAGCCTCCATCCTCCGCACAGCCGTGGCTCCTTTGGGCCAGCTCCACTCCCGCCTGGGCACCTACTTCGTCACGGGGAATCACGAGTACTACACGTCAGACGTCAGCAACTGGTTTGCGCTGCTGGAATCCCTGAATGTCAAGCCCCTTCACAACGAGAACGTGAAGATTTCCGCCACAGGGGCCCAGCACGGGGGTGGTGAAGGGGAGGACTGGATCTGCTTGGCTGGGGTGGACGATATCGAAGCAGACATCCTGCACTACTCCGGCCACGGCATGGATCTCGTCAAGGCCCTGGGGGGCTGCAGCCCAGACCACACCACCATCTTGCTAGCTCACCAGCCGCTGGCTGCCAAGAGAGCCCTGCAGGCTCGGCCGGATATTAACCTGATTCTCTCAGGGCACACGCATGCTGGGCAGATCTTCCCCTTGAACGTGGCTGCCTATCTCTTGAACCCCTTCTTCGCTGGCCTCTACCAAGTGGCCCAGACTACATTTGTATATGTCAGCCCAGGCACGGCCTACTATGGGATACCCATGAGACTGGGTAGCCGGGCGGAGATTACAGAGCTTATCCTCAAGCAGGCTCCCTGAATCTGGCCCTACCTCTTGCCTTTTCAATGCCCTTGCCCTTCACCATCCATCCCTCCTTAGAGTGGGTTGCCTGCATTCCCCCCTCCAGCCTCTCCTGCCCAGCCCTGCCAGTACATGCTTGATCACAAGCCTGGCTTGAATGGTGATTTGTACCGGGGCAGCCTGGCAAGTCCAGGCTGGTTTACTCTGTAGGTGGCCAGTGGCTTCTTTATATGTATCTGTGAGACAACTCAAGTCACGTGTAAGAACAAGCATCTGTTTTCCAGATGATGGGAAGTAAGCTCTCCTCCTCTGCAGAGCTCAGAAGGCTGAATGGAAACATGGGGTTGCTTGAAAGGGATACCTCTAGAAAGCAGAACAGAGAGGATCACTGGCGTTTTTAAAACCCCTTGAAGACTTAGGCAGTTTTCAGGATCATTGATCCAGAGCTTTCTGGGGAAAGGGCCGTGTTGCTAGGTGATCTGGGAGAACAGGCAGGAGGGAGGCCCTATCTGGCTACTGGGGAAGAATGTTTCCTTTTCCCTATTGGTTCTGTCAGAGTCGCCTTTATTGAGGGCATCAACCAAACCTTCGGGGACGCAGGGCTCTGGCTGTTCCAGGCCTCAAGTGCTGCTCTTTTATCGCCTGTGCTCCTGGGCCTTGGGCTGGAAAGAAACAGGAGCACAGTGGTAGGCATTGGTAATGCACTGCTGCTTAGGGATTCAGAGGGGGTTTGCCTCCCTGGGCTCCTTTAATCCAGTACTTGGGCGAGGTAATTAAGGATAGGCTACCTTTTCCTCCTCGAAGGTGAGAAAAATGAGGCAGAGAGAAGCAGGGCGCTGGCAACATGACAGGGTATGGAGGAGACCCTTGGCTGGAAGCCAGGCCTTCTGCCTCCCTGTCCATGGTCTGGCGCTTAAGGATCGGCATCTGAGACCAGTGAGTGCAGAGCTCAGACACGTGCTGCTGTGCCAAGAGAATGAACAAGGCTCGAGAACCTGAGGGTCTCTCAGGGCCTGGAAGGGGTTTGGCTCGATTCAGCGTAGGCTGTCTGTGACATTGGCAGAAAAGTCGAGAAAGTAGACCCTCCCCTCCACCTCCCAGATCTGGGTCTGTGTTTTGTGAGAAACTGAGGCTCGCTTTCTACCAGGGGAAGTTGAGTTTGCAGGGGGAATGGGCACAGTTTTGTGCTCTTGCAGGGCTGGGAGACCTTCCCTCCCCCTGGGCCCTGGCTGTGGAATGCCGGGACTATCTTCCCTGCTGGGTGGCTTCCACGCCAGCACCCTCCTGTCCATCTCTCACCCTGTCCTGACCCCATCAGCATTGTCCTAGGGCCTGGCCATAGAACCATAATGCCATGCTCCTCCCTGCTGGCCAAGCCTCTTGTGCCAGAGGCAAGAGACCCTTCAGTCCTGAGGTAGCAGTCAGTCAGCTCTCCTGTTGGAAAAGGCCTCACTGAGAAGCCTGGGGACCTTGGCTCAGCACTGACTTTTTGTAACCGAGAGTCTCTCCAACGGGGAACAAAACCCCACTCGGCCTGGAGAAGCTCATCCTGCTGCTCATTGTTCAGGTAGCGTCAGGGAAATGACTTGACCTCACCAAGTCTCAGTTTCCCTCACCCTAAAATGAGGATAATTCTGTCTACCTCAGTATTGTTCTGTGGGATTGGTATTAAGACGTGGAGTGAGGTACCTGTGGCCCAGGTGCACAGGAAGCGCTTGGTGGCGTTAATATTTAACCATCACGGGGGCCGGGCTAGGGAGCTGTGCTGGGCAGGGGTGCCCAGAGAATGAAAGGAGTGGCCGAGCCTGGGGAAGGCTGCCTGTGGCTAGGGTCCGCTGAGGTGTGGAGGCAGCACCTGCTGGGGGTCTGTTTTTCTTGGCCTGTGCTGCAGTATCCTTGCACACACTGTGGCTTTAGGGAGTTCCTTATATTTTCCTCCTGTCTTCCTCGTGTGTAACAGAATCCTAGGCGCTCCTGGAGACCCCCTTTCTTGTTGGCAGGCAGATGAGGTACTAACAGTGAGCCTTCCAGGCAAATTTAAAATCAGTCTTTGCGTTGGGATTTCAGCAGTTTCTTTATTTTGTATCCCCTTGTGCTTAATCGTCCCTGCAGCCAGGAGTAAGTTTCCAAACCCTCTCCTCCCTCCCTTGTGACCCAATCCCGTTTTCTGGATCATTCCAGTTGACTTTCCAGCTCTCTGTTGCTTAGATCTCACCAGACTCCTTGCTGCCGTTTATTTTCCAGCCTTAGGTGCCGCTGGTGGCGGTTGACCTTTCTGGATATTCTTCATCTGTGTTCTGAGCTTCCTGAGGTTAGCTTCCTTCTTTACTGTTTATCTTGCATCTTTGTCTCCTCTTTCTCCCAAGTGCTGTCATTTTGTGGTCTTGTGTTCTGAAGTCCTTGCTTGCCTGATTGTTTTCAACTCCCAGAAGTAAGACAGGCCCATCCTGTGTGTCTCGGGAAGACTGAGCAGCACCTTTTCCTGCATGGTTTAGATCCCGTGGTGAGGTGGAATTGTTCCCAGTGGAAGCTGCTCCATTACTGTGCAGATGTGGCCCTGGTGGGCCGCTCTCCACGGCACCCTTTGCTCCTATTCCCTCTTCCTCGCTCGCTCACCTTTGTTTTGTTCATGTATGGCTGGGGGAGGTGGTGAGGAACATACACTGGAAACTTGGGAAGTCTTTCAGTTTCCTTTTAGTTTTTCTTTTAATTTGTTGAACTCAAAATGAAGCATAATGCCTTTTAAAAATTAACAGCAGCTGTAGTTTGGGTCTAGGTTTCGTGAGAAACTTGTTATAAAATCTTAATAAGTTAATGCTGAAATATACAACAGTATATTTCACATATGTCTGTTTTTATGCCAATACTGCACTGTATTGGTTACTGTAGCCTTGTGATATTTTTTGGAATCAGGAATTGTGATTCTTCCAACTTTGTTCTTTTTCAAGATTGTCTTGGCTACTTGGGGTTCCTTGAAATTCCATATGAATTTTTCTATTTCTGCAAAAAAATGCGGTGGAATTTTTTTTTTTAAGATTTTATTTATTTATTTGACAGACAGAGATTACAAGTAGTCAGAGAAGCAGGAGAGAGGAGGAAGCAGGCTCCCTGCTGAGCAGAGAGCCTGATGTGGGCTTGATTCCAGGACCCTGAGACCATAGACCCGAGCCAAAGGCAGAGGCTTTAACCCACTGAGCCACCCAGGTGCCCCAGTGCAGTGGAATTTTGATAGAGATTGTTTTGAATCTAAGATCGCATTGGGTAGAATGGACATCTTAATGTTCAGTCTTCTAATGTGTGAACACAGGGTATCTTTCCATTTATTTCTTTCTTTCTGCAGTGTTTTGTAATTTTCAATGTATGAGTCTCATCTCCTTGGTTAGGTTTATTAAGTATTTTATTCTTTTTGATGCTATTGTAAATGAAACTGTTTTCTTACTTTCCTTTTTAGATTATTTATTGTCAGTGTATAGAAATGCAGCTGATTTTTATATGTTGATTTTGTGTTCTGCAGTTTTGCTGAATTTGTTTATTAGTCATAGCAATTTTTGGTATATGGTATCTTCTATTTCTTTTTCTTGCTTTGTTGCTCTGGCTAAGACTTCCAAAACTACGCTGAATAGAGGTGGTAAGAGCGGGCATTCTTGCCGTATTTCTGATCATAGAGGAAAAGCTCGTGGTCTTTCATCATTGAATATGATGTTAACTATGGACTTTCCCTATATGGCCTTTATTATGTTGAGGTGATTTCCTTCTAGTCCTAGTTTGTTGAGTGTTGTACTGTATTGTTATTGAGTGTTGAACCTTGTCAAATCTGTTTTCTGCCTCAATTAAGATGGGCATGTGGTTTTTGTCCTTTATTCTGTTAACATGGTGTATTATAATTACTGATTTTATATGTTGAGCTGTCCTTGCATTACAGGAATAAATCTCACTTGGTCATGGAGTACTATCCCTTTAATGTGTTGTTGAATTCAGTTTGCTGGTACTTTGTTGAGGATATTTGCATCAATATTCATCAGACATATTGGCCTGTAGTTTTCTTGTTAATGTCTTGTCTTGCTTAGGTATTAAGGTAATGTTAGCCTCATAGAATGAGTTTAGAAGCCTTTCTCCTCTTTCATTTTTTGGGCAAAGTTTCAAGAAAACTGGTGTTAATTCTTCTTTAAATGTTTGTTAGAATTCTCTAGTGAAGTCATCTGGTCCTGGGTTTTTCTGTGATTTTCAGTTACTGATTATTTTCTTTCCAGTTATTGGTCTCCTCAGATTTTCTGTTTCTTCATGATTCAGTCTTGGTAGTTTTATGTTTCTAGGAATTTTTTCATTTGTTCTAGATTACCCAGTTTATTGGCATACAGTTGTTCATAGTAGTATCTTGTAATCTTGTTTATTTCTGTGGCATCAGTTGTAATATCTCCTTTTTCATTTCTGATTTTAGTTATTGAGTCTTCTCTCTTAATTAGTTCATCTAGCTAAAGCTTTGTCAGTTTTGTTGATCTTTAAAGAAAAACCCAATTCTCAGTTTCATTGACTTTTTTTTTCTTTCCTTTTTTTTTTTTTTGATGTTTTTCTGTCTTTCATTTATCTCTGCTCTGATTTTTATTATTTCCTTCTTTCTGCTAGCTTTGGGTTTAGTTTGTTCTTTGGTTTCTTGAGGAATTATGTCTCTTAGAGTTCCTTTGTTTGAATCAGGATCTAAAAATAAAACCCATATACTCTATATGATATATTTCTTAAATCTAAGTCTAGAAAACATCTTTCCTCTTTATGTCATTTATTTGTTCAAGTTATCTTAGTATTTCCTACATTTCAGAATTGTGGTGGTCAATGTGTTATACTATCCCTCATGTTGTCAGTGAGCTAGTAGAGCTAGAGATCTGTAAAAGTTACAGCTAGAGGCTGGATAGTTTCAGGTTCGCCATTTTTCTTTTTTGGGCAGGAAGACTTCATTGCTTTCAGTGATGCTACCACTGACCCACAGGTCTAGTGTTGTCAACTTGATCTGTCCACTAGAAAGTTCCTCAT